CGACCCCCAGATGAGTCCAGGGCCCCCCCCCCAGGGGCGGGGGAGGGGCCGGGGGGGGGCCCCGCCCCTCCCCCCCAACCACGAACACTTTTTATTTATTCACGGAGAAATGGCCCCAAAAATGGTCTGGACCTGGACGGACAAGGACAAAGCTTTGGGTGCAAAAACTCCGATTTTCTACAAAAATCCCCATTTCTAGGATTGACAAAGCCCCTCCCCCCGCGGGGGGGGATGGGGGGGGTCTCTCTGCTGCCCCTCCCCCACCCCCACATTTTTGGGGCTCCGAACTCTGAGGGGGTTGGGGGGGGGAGGGGAGGCTTTGCCCCTCCCCCATCATTTTGTGGGGGGGGGTTGTGCCCCTCCCCCACCACAAAGGGGAGGCCTGGGGGGGGTCCCCGCCCCCTCCCCTCAGCATTAAAGGGGGGGAGGGGCGGGGGGGGAGGGGCACTTTTATTGGGGGGGGTCGGACCCCTTGCCAAGATTCAACCAAAAACTCGCCCCCGCCCCCACCAGCAGCCGCCCCTCCCCCCCCATACGGGGTCCGGGCCGGGGGGAGGGGCACGGGGGGGGGGTGGGGGAGGGGCAGGATTTTTATTGAGGGGGGGGAGGTGCCCCTCCCCCCCTCTCCGCCCCTCCCCCCTCGCGGGGCGGGGCTCAGGTCTCTACGGGGGGGGGAGGGGCTCCCCCCCAACCCATGGTGCAAAGGGGGGAGGGGCCTGTGCTACCCCTCCCCCCCCAAAAAGGGGGGGGCGGCAGGAGCCCCCCCGCGGGGGGCGGGGCCTTGGGGTGCCCCTCCCCTCCCCCCCCCCCTTTCCCCGAGCCTCCTTTTGGGTTTTTTTTTGCTTTTTTTTTTTGTAAATGATTTTTTGTTGTTGTCGTTTTTTTTTTTCCTTTTTCTTTATTTTTTTTCCTCTTTTTTAATTTATACGCGGGGGAGGGGGGGGGGGAGGGGTCGCTTTATTTATTGGGGGGGGGGGTCCCCGACTCCCGAGGGGGGGGGGAGGGGAGGGGATGGGGGGGGGGGAGGTTTTTGGTCCCCGTGACCCCTCCCCCCTCCCCCCCCCTTGTCCCCATCACCCGGTGACCCCTGACCTTTGTGGGGGGAGGGGCGGGTGTGTGTCCCCCCCCCTCGCCCCGCCCCCACCCCACCCCCCCCCTCCCCCCATTATGGTGCTGGGCCCTGCGGCCGCCCCGCCCCTCCCCCCCACCCCCGTATCCCCCCCTCCCCCCCCCGGCCGGGACCCCCCCCCCCCGGTGTTTGCGGGGGTGGGGGAGGGGCGGGTGCTCCCCTCCCCCCCCCCCCAGAAGCTATTTTGTACCTGAGATTAAATTAATGGCAAAGCCCGACGGCTCCGTGGGGGAGGGGCGGGGTTGGGGAGGGGGGAGGGGTCGGGGGAGTGGGGGAGGGGCGGGATTTGGGGAGGGGGGAGGGGCCCTGATGGGGCAGGAATTGGGGTGGGGGGGGGCTCAGGAAATGGGGGAGGGGTGGGGCAGGAATTTGGGGAGGGGCTCAGAAATTTGGGGGGCTCAGGAAAAGGGAGGGGGCGCAGGAATTGGGTGGGTGGGGGGGGGCGCAGGAATTGGGTGGGTTGGGGGGGCTCAGGAATTTGGGGGAGGGGGGGACGGGGACACCCACGAGGTCACACGGGGGACAGCGGCACCAAGGGGGGGCTTTAATGGGGACCCCAAAAAACCCCCCCGGGACATTTTGGGGGACGGGGGAGACACTCAAAGCCTTGGGGGGCGTCCCCAAGTGGTTTTGGGGAGGGTCCATCAGGTTTCGGGGTCCATGGGGGGAGACTCTCAGGTGTTTTTGGGGTCTCTCAAGTGTTTTTAGGGTCCATCCGGTGCTTTTGGGGTCCATCCGGTGGTTTTTTGGGGTCCATCCAGTGCTTTTGGGGTCTCTCAGGAGTTTTTGGGGTCTCTCAGGTGCTTTTGGGGGTCTCTCAGGTGTTTTTGGGCTCTCTCAGGAGATTTTGGGGGTCCATCCAGTGTTTTTGGGGTCCATCCGGTGTTTTTGGGGTCTCTCAGATGTTTTTTGGCATCCCTCAGGTGGTTTTGGGGTCCCTCGGGTGGTTTTGGGGTCCATCCGGTGTTTTTGGGGTCTCTCAGGTGTTTTTGGGGGTCTCTCAGGAGATTTTGGGGCCCACCCTGGGGTCCCTCAGGGGTAGGGGGGCTCCACCTCGATGGACACAATGTGGTGCCCGGGGACCATGGCCAGCCCCAAAACTCGGGGTTCACTGCCCGGGAATGCGTCTGGAGAGGGGAGAAAAGGGCTCAGAACCCCCCCAAAAAACCCCTAAAAACACCCACGACCACCCAAAAAAAAACCCTGAAAGACCCCCGTGAAAAAACCCCCAAAAGTCCCCACAAAAAACCCCCAAAGACCCCGTTAAAAATCCTCTGAAGGTCCCCCCAAAAAAACCCCAAAGGCTGCCCCAAGTAAGCCCCAACTTCCCCCCTGAAAAACCCCAAAAACCCCATGAAAACCCCCAAAAATCCCCACAAAAAACCCGGAAAGACCCCCCCTAAAAATCCCCCGAAGATCCCCCCCAAAAACCCGAAAGATCGCCCCAAATAAACCCCAAAGATCACCCCAAATAAACCCCAAAGATCGCCCCAAATAAACCCACACCCACCTCCCCCAGACCCTCAGATCCACCCCCAAAAAACTCAAAAAACCCCCTTAAAAAAACCCCAAAATTCCCTAAAAAGAAAAACCCAGACCCCCCCCCACAGACCCCCAAGATCCCCTAAATACCCCAATAAAACCCCCAAAAAACCCAAAAACCCCTAAAAAACCCCAAAGCCCCCCCAGGACCCGCAGCTTTCAGGAACTCCTGGGCAGAGCCCAGGATCCCATTGCCCTGGCAGTCAGAGCTTGGGGATGCTCCCCACCCCTCTCAGACCCTCAGAATCCCCCCCAAAAATCCCCCAAAACACCCCCAAAATCCCTCCAGACCCCCAAAACTCCTCCAAGACCCCCAAAACTCCCTCCAGACCCCCAAAACTGCCCCAAAGTCCCCCAAACTTTCAAACTTTCCTGGCTGACCCCAGGATCGCGTTGCTCTGGCAGTCAGAGCTTGGGGATGCTCCCACCCCTCTCAGACCCTCAGAATCTCCCCAAAAATCCCCCAGAACACCCCCCAAAACTCCCTCCAGACCCCCAAAACTCCCCCAGGACCCCCCAAAACTCCCCCAGGCCCCCCCCAAAAACTCCCCGAGGACCCCCCCAAAACTCCCCCCAGACCCCCAAAACCCCCCCAGAACCCCCCAAATCCTCCCCAGGACCCCCCCAGACCTGCGGCTTTCAGGAACTCCTGCCGCCGAGCCCAGGATCCCGTTGCTCTGGCAGTCAGAGCTGGGGATGCTCCCACCCCTCCCAGACCCCCAAATCCCCCCCAGAACCCCCCAAAAAACCCCCCCAGGACCCCCCCCAGACCTGCGGCTTTCAGGAACTCCTGCGCCGAGCCCAGGATCCCGTTGCTCTGGCAGTCAGAGCTCGGGGATGCTCCCACCCCTCCCAGACCCCCAAAACCCCCGCAGAACCCCCCCAAAAACCCCCCAGGACCCCCCCCAGACCTGCGGCTTTCAGGAACTCCTGCGCAGAGCCCAGGATCACGTTGCTCTGGCGGTCCGTGCACAGGAACGCCCCCACCAGGGTCCGCCCGTCGGACATGCGGATGCGGAGGCTGCGGTTCAGCAGCGCCTCCAGACGCTGCCGCCCCCGGGGGGGCCCCGCGACCCCCCGGTCCCGGCCCTGGGGGGGGACGGGGGAGGGAACGGGTGAGACCCCCCCGGAACAGCCGGGATGGGGCTGGGGAGGAATGCGGGGACCCCGGCCACAAAAAACCCACCCAGCACTTATGGGACCCCCTCCCCAAAAAACCTCCCAGAGCACCAAAATAATCCCCAGTTCCTATGGGCCCCCCCCCAAATCTCCCCCAGTCCCTATGGGACCCCCCCAAAAACCTCCCAGAGCCCCAAAATATTCCCTAATCCCTATGGCCCCTCTCCCCAAAACTCCCCCAGCCCCAAAACACCCACCCAGCACCTATGGGACCCCTCAAAAACCTCCCCCAAAATATTCCCCAGTCCCTATGGCTTCCCCAAACCTCCCTCAGCCCCAAAACCCTCCCCAAGCCCCCTCTTCCCCCACCCCCTCAGCCCCTATGGACCCCCTAAACCTCCCCCAGCCCCAAAAATTCTCCCCCAATCCCTATGGCCCCCCCTGAACCTTCCCCCAGCCCCTGTGGCCCCCCATAAACCCCAGATCCCCCCCACATCGCCCCCAGACACCCTCACAACCCCCCCGGTTCTCACAGTCCCCCCGCCCCTCCTCAGGCCCGAGCCCTCAGAGCCCCCCCGAATCTCCCCTCAGGACCCTGCACCGCCCCCCAGCTCCTCCTCTGGCGTCCCCAGGATCCATAGGGCAGCCCTGCCGCGCCCCCCAGTCCCTCAGACACCCCAAATTCTCCCTAAAATCTCCCCAAATACCCGCCCGCGCCCCCCACTCACGGCCGGGCCGGCCCCCGCCTCCTCCGGCGGATCCGCCATGATGGCGCCGCTTCCCGGCAGCCCTGGCGCGGCACAGGGGGGGGCGGAGCTACGGACCACAACTCCCGGCGTGCACCGCGCGGCAGCGATAGCGGCTACAGAGCCGTGACTGCATTTCCCAGCACGCACCGCGCGGTAATAGAATAGAATAGAATGGAATAAACACAAGGACTACGTTTCCCCAGCACACCCCGCGGCGCGCAGGGCAGGGTTTTCCGGCGGCGTTTGCCATGGCGACGGGCGGCGCGGGCTCGGCCTGAGCGGTCCCGAGGTGCGGGGAGGGGGCCCTGAGGGGCTGGGGGGGCTCAGGGGGGTCTGGGGGGAGCTGTGGGGGCCGTGAGGGGTCGGGGGTCCCCTTTATGGGGGGGGGCGAGGTCTCCCCTCCGTGACCCCCCCAAACCCAGGCGCGCCCCCTCCTCCTGCAGGCCGCGGGTGATGACGTCACCCCAGAGGGGAAGGGGGACCCCCGACCCCCCCCCCAAATTTGGGGCTCAGGCCCCCCCCCCCCGCCCCCCATTGGGGTCTGCCCTTGTCTGGGTGGGTCCCTCTTTGGGGGGGGGGTGCCCCCAATTTTGGGGCCAATTGTGACTTTTTGGAGCCCGAATAAATCGGAATTTGGGTGAGGGGACACACTCGGGGACAGCCCTTGGTGACAATGGGGGGGTTCCCGGCTGTCCGTGTCATCTGTCCGTGTGTCTGTCTGTCCGTCTCACCTGTCTGTCACCTGTCCCTGTGTCTGTCACCTGTCCCTGACCAGCTGTCCTTGTCACCTGTCCCTGTGTCTGTCTTTCTGTGCCACCTCTCCATGTCTCCTGTCCCTCATTGTGTCCCCTGTCCCCATCCCTGTCCCTGTCGCCATCCCTATGCCTATCCCAAATGTCCCGTCCCCATCCCCTGTCCCCTGTCCCTACCCCTGTCTTCGATGTCCCCATCCCTGTCCCCATCCCTATCCCTATCCCAAATGTCCCCCTGTCCCCCATCCCCTGTCCCTGTCCCCCAATGTCCCCTGTCCCCCGTCCCTGTCCTCGTCCCCTGTCCCCATCCCTGTCCCCATCCCCTGTCCCTGTCCCCAATGTCCCCTGTCCCCATCCCTGTCCCCTGTCCCTGTCCCTACCCCTGTCTTCTATGTCCCCATCCCTGTCCCCTGTCCCCATCCCTGTCCCTCTCTCTGTCCCCATCCCTGGTCCCCAATGTCCCCTGTCCCGTTCCCTGTCCCTGTCCCCTGTCCCCATCCCTGTCCCCAGTGTCCCCTGTCCCCTCTCCCTGTCCCCGTCCCCATCCCCTGTCCCCAGTGTCCCTGTCCCCATTCCTGTCCTCATCCGTCCCCATCCCTGTCCCCCAATGTCCCCTGTCCTCTGTCCCCCATCCCTGTCCTCATCCCTGTCCCTCTCCATGTCCCGTCCCCCTGTCCCTGTCCCCTGTCCCTATCCCCAGCTGTCCCCTGTCCCCCTGTCCCCATCCCTGTCCCCAGTGTCCCCTGTCCCCATCCCTGTCCCCAGTGTCCCCTGTCCCCTCTCCCAGTCCCTCCCCAGCTGTCCCCCGATGTCCCCACGGCGCTGTTGTCACCGTCCCCCTTCAGGACACAGGCGGTGCTGGCACTGTCACCTCCTGACCCGGTGACACCGCGGTGACACCGCCGTGGGGCAGTGCCACCGTCCTGGGGCTGTGCCAGTGCCCCGGGCACGGCCGGGTGACACCCCTGGGTGACAAAGTGACACCCCCTGGTGACAAAGTGCCACCCCCTGGTGACCAAAGTGACACCCCCGGGTGACAAAGTGACAGCCCCGGGTGACAAAGTGACAGCCCCGGGTGACACGGGGGCGGCCTCAGGGCTCAGAGCCACCAAACGGAGGCAAAACGGGCAAAAAGGAGCAAAACGCCCCAAAAATGTCCCTGGGGGAGGGCTTGGGGTGACAAAAGCCACCAACGGCCCCCAGAATGTCACCTCTGGGCTTTGGGGGCTCTCTGGGGCGTCACACGAGGGTTTGGGGACATTTGTGAGGATTTTGGGGTCCTTGGGGTGTCACACGAGGGTTTGGGGACATTTGGGGGGCATTTTGGGGTCCTTGTGGTGTCACACGAGGGTTTGGGGACATTTGGGGGGATTTCGGGGTTCTGGGGGGTGTCCACACAAAGGTTTGGAGACATTTCGGGGGATTTTGGGGTTCTGGGGGTGTCACACGAGGGTTTGGGGACATTTGGGGGGCATTTTGGGGTCCTTATGGTGTCACACGAGGGTTTGGGGACATTTCGGGGGATTTTGGGGTCCTTGTGGTGTCACACGAGGGTTTGGGGACATTTATGAGGATTTTGGGGTCCTTGTGGTGTCACACGAGGGTTTGGGGACATTTGTGAGGATTTTGGGGTCCTCGTGGTGTCACACAAGGGTTTGGGGACATTTGGGGGGATTTCGGGGGTTCTGGGGGTGTCACACAAAGGTTTGGGGACATTTCGGGCAATTTTGGGGGTCCTTGTGGTGTCACACCAGGTTCTGGGTGGATTTTGGGGGTTCTGGGGGTGTCACCCAAGAGTTTGGGTGGATTTTGGGGGAATTTGGGGGTTCTGGGGGTGTCACACAAAGGTTTGGGGACATTTGGGGCAATTTTGGGGTTCTGGGGGTGTCACACGAGGTTTTGGGAGGAGAATTTGGGGCATTTGTGAGGATTTTGGGGTTCTCATGGTGCCCCCACCAGGTTCTGGGTGGATTTTGGGGGGATTTGGGGCTCTTGTGGTGTCACACGAGGGTTTTGGGAAGAATTTGGGGCGATTTTGGGGTTCTGGGGTGTCACATGAGGGTTTCGAGGAGAATTTGGGTGGATTTTGGGGTTCTCATGGTGTCCCATGGGGTTCTGGGTGGATTTGGGGTGGATTTGGGGTGGATTTGGGGCAATTTGGGGTTCTGGGGGTGTCACATGAGGGTTTGGGGAGCATTTGAGCAGATTTTGTGAGGATTTTGGGGTTCTCATGGTGTCCCACCAGGTTCTGGGTGGATTTGGGGTGGATTTTGGGTGGATTTTGGGGTTCTCATGGTGTCCCATGGGGTTTTGGGTGGATTTTGGGGTTCTCATGGTGTCCCACCATGTTCTGGGTGGATTTTGGGTGGATTTTGGGGTTCCCATGGTGTCCCACCAGGTTTTGGGGATATTTGGGGGGATTTTGGGGTTCTCATGGTGTCCCATGGGGTTTTGGGTGGATTTGGGGTGGATTTTGGGTGGATTTTGGGGCGATTTTGGGGTTCTGGGGGGTGTCACATGAGGGTTTGGGGAGCATTTGGGCAGATTTGTGAGGGGTTTTGGGGTTCTCATGGTGCCCCACCAGGTTCTGGGTGGATTTTGGGGGGATTTTGGGGTTCTCATGGTGTCCCATGGGGTTTTGGGTGGATTTTGGGGTTCTCATGGTGTCCCACCAGGTTCTGGGTGGATTTTGGGGTCTCTGGGGGTTCCTGGTGCTGGGTGACAAAAACCAGGAGCAACTTTTGGGTAAAAAAGACCCCAAATAGGTAAAACCCCCAAACCTGGAGTGGTTTTGACCCAATTTTCCATCGTTTTGGGGTAAATTCAGCTGCTGGGGGGGCTCCTCTGCTGCCCCAAGGCATCAACCCCAGAGTTCTGGGGCAAAAAAGGCCCCAAAAAGGAAAGGAAATTTAAAAAATGCAGCAAATTCCAGCAGTGGGGGAGGAGCAGGCACAGCCTGGGGGTTTTGGGGAGATTTTGGAGCATTTTGGGACAATTTAACCCCCCAAAACCCATCCCTGAGGAGAAATTCCCCCCATTTCAGCTCTGGGGTTTTGGGGCAGGATTTGGCCTGGATTTGGGGAAATTCAAACCCTTTTTCCTTCCCCTTTTGAATATTGAAATAAAAGATTTAATATTTGAATATTTTCTTTTTCCTTTTTTAATTCCCCCACCTTTTTTTTCAGTATTTTTAAATTTTTCTTCCTTCTTTTGAATCCCCTTCTCCTGATTTCTCCTTTTCTCAATTTTTCCCCCTTTCTTTAACATTTTTTCCCTTTTTTGAAGCTTTTTCCATCTCTTTATCTTTCCAAATCTTTTCCCTTTTGATTCTTGCACACTTCTTAAATATTTTCCCCCTTTCTAAGGTATTTTTCCCCCTTTTTACTATTTTCCCCTCTTTTGAATCTTTTTTCCATTTTTTATCTCCCCCTTTAATTCTTTTTCCCTTTTTTCAGTCTTTTCCCCCCTTTTTTGATTCTTCTTTTCATTTTTCAAATTTTTAATCTTTTTTGTTTGTTTCTACATTTTCATTTTCTCTCATTCCCCCCCTTTTTTCATACTTTTCCCCTTTTATTCTTCTTTATTCAAACTTTTTTCCTTTCCCTCCTTTTTTAGTTCTTAAATGTTTTTCCTTTTTAATATTTCTCAGTTTTTCAACATTTTAGTAACTTTTCTCTTTTTTTAATATTTTTCTCAATTTGAACATTTTCTAAACTTTCACCCTTTTAAATATTTTTTCAATTTTTCCCCTTTTTGAGTATTTTTTTTCCTTTTTCATTTTTTCCCCTTTATAATTTCTCCCCTTTTCCATCATTTTACTTTTTCCCATCCTTTTCCAATCTTCTTCCCTTTTCCAATCTTTTTTAAAAATATTTTTTCTTTCACCTTTTCTCTTTTCTAACCATTTCTTCCTTTCTCCAATTTTTCTTTTTTCATCTTTTAAAATCCTTTTCCCCTTTTCTATTTTTTTTATTATTTTTCAAATTTTTCCCCTTTTCCAATCTTCTCCCCCTTTTTCATCCTTTTTCCCTTTTTCAAGGGAAATGGAAAATTTCCCATTGAAAAATGGGGGAAATTTCCCCATTGAAAAAAGGGGGAAAATACTGAAAAATTTTCCCAATATTTTCCCCTTTTTAATCTTTTCTCCTTTTTAACCTTTTTCATTTTCCAATCTTTTTTCCCCCCTTTTCAATCCTTCCCAACCTTCCCCCCTTTTCAATCTTTTTTATCCCTTTTCAATTTTTTAATTCCTTTTCAATCTTTTTT